CAGTATGTAAATTAGGTACCGTAAGTCTAATACAGTACTGTAATTTTATACATTTCTTGTGAAAGAAACATTTCTTATTCAACGGCGATTAAAATTATTTATATTAATGATGTCTCCGAAGTTCAACGAAGTTTTCGCAGAAAAATAACTTATCAGAAAACTTTCGTCATTGCTAATGCTTGTTTTCGTCGCGGAGCGTCCCTCCGCAACGAAAACAAGCATTAGCAATGGCGGTGCACACTCGGTAAGTAATCCTACAATTTTTTGTTTATAGCGTAGTTAATACGGATTATTCCCAAAAAATGTATACGTATTTTGGAAATGTGGAGTCGGATTAGTCTAGAATCGATTAATTTTATGGAAGAAAACCTTTCAATCAGCCGTATTCCGTAAACTTTACACGTGTCGGGCTGTGATTGGAACGACTCGTAAGAAATCGGATTCCTAAAAAATGGAACGTATTTATGATCTTATAGGGGGGTCGACTGTACACAATACTTTCTGTCATTTACCCATTATTAATTTCGATTTGTAAAATCTACAAATAATTTAACGCAAACTGTGAAAATAAACGATAACTATCTTAAAAGTTCTATCGCATATATTTATATGTAAAATCTTCTGAAATATTCTGCATACTGCATACTTGCAAATATTCTGCATACTGTATAATTATTATTAATTAATTACCTGTTGAATATCAAGTGAAAACTGTAGAACAGATATTCCGAACAATTTCAAAGTGACATTGCCTTTATATTCGTAACAGTAAAATCTTTCTTTACATACTGGAGAGCAGGATATTTTGCTTATAGAATAAAAAAATCTCCACCAATTTTCGGGATGAAGAATAATTTTGGACGATATCCCAAATTTGTGAAGACAATTTATATGAGCGAAATCTGATGGATTTTCTATAATTTCCTACAGTATATAAATAAGAACGTAAATAATACATGTATTCATTTGGCATGGTTTTATTTACTTGGCATAATTATAAATACCTGAATATGGCAATTTACAATGTGTTCACTACGACCTCTAAACAACATTAGTCGATTCTCTATTTCTGGTATAACTGGAGGTTTCCACAGAGGAGGTTGTCCTTCTGCATGATGCCAAACGTAAATGAATCCGTTTTGCTCAATCGTTTCCCAATTTTTTATTTTAGCAACTTCTGGAACTAAATTTAAATATATTACGTAATGGGTGTTTTTTAAATATTACTCCGAAAGAAAGAAATATATTTCCAGCATTAAAAGAATATAAGTATATGGTGCATTGGTTTTAGGGCAACGTTTAAAGTAAAATTAGTTAATAAAAAAAAACACGTGTAAATCGAAATAAAATTTCACAGTAAGACGTAGAGTTATATATCTCTGTCGAGCGCAAAAGCAACGGAAGAGAATTGTTGTAAGATTTAGTATTACGTATAAAAATCTTGATTATACAATATAAAAGATTGCATAAGTTAATATAAGATCGGTAAATTTTATTTTTGCAGTAATACATGTGTAAAAGGACTGCCATCAGCAGCACACAACGACCTAGACGATTGAAACTTTCAATGTATATGTCACATAGCATATCTGGCATCTTCGATCTCAAATTTCCTAATTACCGTATAAACACAAATCAGAAATTAAATGTACGACAGCAAACTAGCCGTCCAAACTGATGCTGAAGAGAAGCTACATTCATGTATTTCGGTAAACCTGCAGGAATTAGTTATCGAGGTCAAATCCAAAATTAATAGCTATAGAACAGGATTTTATTTTTATTCCCTAGATTATCGAACATCTGTTTAAGTCATTGACTCACGGCTAAATGTAAATCAGCTGTGGAGCTGTAATCTTGGTTGCAAATACAGTCGACCCCCTGTAACACTGTTGATTTTTCCGTTTTATATGAATTTCATGTTGTACGAGTCACTTAGATTTTACAAATACGTGTGCTGGGCTGTGAATGGCTCACGTATTTGTAAAATCTAAGTGACTCGTACAACATGGAATTTATATAAAACGGAAAAATTAACAGTGTTATAGGGGGTCGACTGTTATGCCGCAGTTGCTCGTAGTAGCAACTTATACAGCCACTTGCAAACTCTCGAAAATATAAATATCGTAAAAAATATAAGTCTCACGTCAAAATTTAACGAAAATATCAAAATTCCTTCGCAAGATAACACATCAGTACTTTAACGAAAATGTTTTCTTACCAAGTGCGTATTTCGCTTACCAACTGCCTCAACTTAACTGCATTAATTACACAGATAATTCGTTTAAGAATTTAATTTAACTATCATCACTGATGTGAAACTAATGCATTTCTTTCTTATCTATTTGCAATGCAAAAAAATCAGTTTTGAGCACGAATCAGCAGTATATATTATTGGCATAGATGTATTAAATTTATACATTTTTAGTAGTTCTCACTTTTTTCGGCGTAAGGTATTTTCACGCAAGAACCATCCTGTCCAGCAAATCGCCATCCGTGGAAAGGACATTCGATGCAATCTTCGTGAACTTTTCCATCCGTTCCTAAATGCGCTCCCAAATGAGGGCAATAAGCATCTAAAACAAAACATGTTCCTGTTTTTCCACGAAATATAACGAATTGCTGACCTGTAAAGTAATTAATATAATTTTTGTCATAAAATTTTTTAATTTATTATCATTCATTTATAAACGTACAGTACCTTGCGTAAATAAAAATTGAGTATTTTTACAATAAATGTATATACTGATTTTCTCACATACCGTTTAATAATTAATCTGTATTCCTATAAATATGTGTAAAATCTATACGAAAACAATTGCTAATTACAATGAAAACAGATACAAGGTTTCATAAACAAAAGTTATTACCTATTATTACTATAATCAAGCATTAAATATCTACAAAATGCCAATACAAATTTTACTAATAAATTATTTGAAAATTAATCAAATCACACGTTTCAGATTTCATCATGAATGGATCTATCGAGAAACCAAAACTGTTAAAATTGTGTGTTAGTTGACTTATCCTGTTTTTTTTCTCGGCGTGTCTTCTAGCAAAAAAAAAACCTAATTAGAATCTATTCAAATTTAAACGGAGAGCATATCCTGAAACTTTATATTCTATTGATAACATTTTACGAATTAATTTGTTCTGTATTATATCTAATTTATGATAATTAGATGAACTCCATATCGATAAAGCATAACTGATGGCGTTTATAATTATAGAATTGAATAGTTTAAACTAAACTCTGATATTATTTAGTTTCTTCTTAGAGAAGAATTTTATTATATTATTAATCAAAGTAGTAGATTTATTTTAACCTTTTCGAAATGCTTTTCGAAAGACAACGATGGGATTAACCCCACACCTGCTAAGACAATTGGTCACCTGACGAATTTTCACACCAAAAAGGTATAAAAGCCCATCTCCTTCCCCTCTCGGGGGAGTGACTGATCAGGGAGTTGCCCGACAAACGGCCAAGACAGACCATCGCTTCCCTCTGACCTACCGTACAACATTTATCGGAAGACCTGGTATTTCAACTCGATCGACCTTCCAGAAAGTAAAAGCCATCCAAAATAATTGAAAGAAATATGAACGCTTTATTGTAAACTCTTTCTCTCATACGCGAATTAGAAAGGGTTTCGTAAATTTAAGTTCGTTAAGTAGTTAAATAAACTCTTGTTTGTTTTTCATGGTGTCTTTATTCGACTATGCCGCGTCTTATCGTCGAATCCTCTGACACTCCTCCACTCGCGTACGCGTAACCGAACGCGTAACAGATCGTAACGCCATCCTTGACAAGAAAGTAGGTCAGAGACCTGTGGCCGGAAGGAGAGGACTCCTCTTCCCTCCCGGGCTCACGTAAGTCATTAAAATTCCTTCTCAAATAATTAATGATAGACGTCGGTAGATTCTTAATTATAAAATGAGAAATTGCGTCATGTCCACGGGCTGTTTTGTTTTTCAGATTTTTAATGCTCGAGTATAACTTTTATGTACTGAATATATCTTCTTATGGTCAGCACTCTACTTGTTTATTACTAATAGTATCCATTTTATAGTTATATAAGTAACTAGTAATTGTTTAGTTCACACGATATCAGTCTGTCTATAACAAGTAACACATGTTGATGAACAAAGATGATCCAGCTTCTTACAATCAAGCAAAATAATGATTTAGGGTTGCATTACACTGTATACAATATAGCTGTTAAACTTAAGTCCATATATAAATATTTCCATACTAAACGATATTTATTTAATCGAATCTGAACAATCAATTTTTTCACTATAAACATCAATTGTTAGAAATAAAAATAAAGGCAGCGATAATTAATTAGTATTTTCGAATACAATGTGTGGTATTTGGTTTTAAGTATCCTGTTTCTTTCTTTACTGAAGGAAATATTTTCAAACTTAGCATAGTGTTTGTATAATATTTTATTAGAGAAAGTGAAATACTTAAACAAAACGTTTTTGGAAAAATTTTATAACGAATTTAGATCTAATTGTGCATGACTGGATCGACTTCTCGAGACCAAAAAGACAATAGATGAGCATATAGTCAATAACAGAGCTACCTACTTTTGTCAGAAAAGTTAATTGTCACGTGTACTTTTTCATATTTCGACCATCAAGTAGAATTAGATCTTGTTCAATCGGCAACTGCAAAGCTGTCTACAAACCAAATCAACATTTAAGCCCTTTGACGTCTAACATCGAAAACGTTTGGCGATGCTACGTTCAAGCACAAATCGACTTCTTCTCGTATATGGACATTGAAATCGCCCATAATTACAACTTCATCATGATGCGGAAACCAAGTGGTCAAAACGTAAGAAAACCGATCAAGGCTTTGCTGCTTTAACGAACCAAAATCACCAACGAACTATGAAACCAGCATCGGAACTCTCCCAGGGTCGTGATTCAAAAGATAAGATAGACCTATCACAATTATGTCACAGTAAGTCTTTAATAATTCAAATTGCACTTTGTCCATGTTAATGAAGAACAAAATACCGACGAGGGAGGGAGTATTCGGGCCCAATGGCTTTTCAGCAAAAACCGTAGAATAATTTCAATTAACTTACTAGAGACTTCAATACAAAATTCTGATCCATGGAAACCATCAAGTTCAGATCATGTTCGAATAAAGATACTAAAATCGTTATTGAAATGCCGTGAAAAAAGAAAAAAAAATGTAAAATGTGATACTTTATGTTATATCATATCATAAAAAATCTTATATCATATTAATATTATAGTTATATCATAGATATTATATCATATAAGGTTACATCGTAGGAAATATTGAAAACAAATAACTAATGTAATGTCTGAATATCTTACCTAGGGCAGTAACAGGCTTGCACTTTCCAACAGGTAGATTCCTGGATTCTAATAAAAGTATCCATCCATTTGGATATGCAGGAGGATATTCTTTTGCACTTCTTAATCTATTCGTTTCTTTTAATAACTGTATTCGTTTTCTACGTATTTCCCTCGCATTCATTCTTCCATCCTCATAACCGATATCTGTCATGTCCTACATCGATAAATTAGCGTTGAAATGTAAATAATATGTATTAAACAACAAATATTTCTTTAATTATACTTACAACAACTCTATTATAAGTTGTTAACGAAAAATACATGACCAGAATAATAAGAAAGAATAAAATAAGTAGATATGGTTTATTTATAATTGTTGTACTGATGCATTGGAACAAATTCAGAACCCAGGGATATTTCCATAATTTTTTTGCTACGCTGCCGTATATAAAGGTAAACATATTTGTTAGAATTATACGCTGGAAAATATCTGAAATAAAAAAATTCAATTACATTGTTTAATAATTTATTAGCTTTGATTAATTTAACACTCATAAACGGTTATTACAACAGCTTATCTTAATAGGTTAGCATTGATGCAGTTTGGATTCACTGTTTCAATGGCAACGATTACTGTCACGTTGACATTTGTTACATAATATCATTTTTTTAATTAGTGATCAGAAAAATATTATTTTATAAAATTAATAGGTAAATATGGAAGTTGATTAATTGTCAATTTTAACGAGTGAAAAAAAAATATTTAGAGAACAAACGCATATACAGTAGAGCGTCGATTTTCCGAAAGTCAATCATCCGAAAGAATTCCAGTCAATGAATGGTACATTCCTTGATGGAAATAAATTTGTTTTTCTTTTACCATAACTTATCTAGCTGATACCTATAAGAAATACTTTATTATTTTACAAAGTAATTGTTTTCGTACAACGATTTTCAAATACTTTATTGTGGGACAAAGTCGTTAGTTTTGACAAAGTATATAATGTTTGCAGCTTTATATAAAACCTAAAATAAATAAATACAGTAGAGCGTCGATTTTCCGAAAGTCAATCATCCGAAAGAATTCCAGTCTGCAAATTTAAATTTTCGCCAGTGCTGTGGCGCTTCAACCTTTGGCTATGTCTTGGGCTACTCAAATATTTTACGTTTTTGATACTAAATTAACATCTGAAGTATAAGTTTTTTTATTATTCTTATATTTTTCAATATATTATTTCGTTTGTACAAAATAAAAAATAATTTTTAACGATACAATAGTCTTCGTTAGGCTTAACATCGACGAAAATTCAACGCGAAGCGACACGCAACGGAGAAAACTTTCGACATCGAATACGTTAAACTATTTTTTCGTGCGTAAATCAGTTATCCGAAATATCAGTTATCCGGACAACCCCAGTCCCGAATTGATTCGGAAAATCGACGCTCTACTGTAT